GCTAATCATTTTTAAATTAGGAGGCCCTTTCAAAGAGTGGGTCACCTATCCTGGTTTTACCCTAAACGAGCTTTTATGAAAACACTAAGAGAAAAGAAAAGGCGAAGGCGCGTAATAAGTGGAGGGCCATGATCCCTACCTGTACCGGCGGGAGACAAGTGTCACAGTATGTGCGTATCTGTACACCATCGCCATGTTAAGCAATGAAATACCGGAGTGTGGCGTGGAGTGTACTGTGCGGTGACTCTAAACGATTTATCCATTTGTTGATTGTCGTTTAATTTTCCCGACCTGTCGAAGAGTTGAACGAACGGTACCGTAAATGATATTCATAATGATTCCGAGAACCGGTGCCGCAACACACAATGGTAATTAATTAACTTTAACAGCGCTCCGCCTTTTTTAAAGTTTTGGTGCTACAGTACATTTGCGACGTGCAGGAAACCGACGGCTGGCGACATAGCACAAAAAAGCAAATATACGTAGAATACTTATATCGGGATTGAGATTGTAGTCGTCTAAGAATTACCCCGTTATGAGAGTGCTGATGCTGCTCGGCCAAAAGAATCCAAATACCTATACATATGTGTATGTTGTTGGACTTGGAGGCAGAGGGCGTTGGCGAGGCGCACCCCGCGCGCGAGTGCCCGTTTACAATAACAGCCATTGTTTACACAACCGCGGCTTATTTTTAATTGTCATTCAGATAAATTTGCCACACTCGCTTGCTATTATTTTATAAAGGTAGAGCCAACTTAATTACAATAATCTTCAGTATTATAGTTATCTCTTTAACCCTTATTGCGCACAAGTTAAATTTGAATTAATTTTTAACTTCCGTTCGTAAAGTAATGAAAATTATGCTCACACGACTCGAATGACTAAAAAATTGTAAATAATTTGAAAAAATCAAAATCTAGTTGTGGTTCACAGCGTCTACTATCATAGACGAATATAACAAATAATAGTAAAACAGTTTAAAGTTCTAAGTAAGTTCTTATTACCTATACATAGATGTATAGACAAAACAAGAATTAGGTACAGTCGCTACATAATTAGGTATCTCCCTAGATGTTTGCGGGAGAAATGTGGGATTGTTGTTCGAATGCTCGGCCACGCGCAATGTGGCCACCGCGGGTTTTCCGTTTGAAGCGCTACGAACTGCGATAGACATTGCATAACGCATTCAAACTGGCGATGGAATGGAGTATGATAAGAAGAGGAAAACAGAGAAAGCGCTCGGTGAATGAATGGGGCGTGACGTCACGCGGCGACATTGATACGCCGCGCCGCGATGCTGAGCCAGCACCCGTCCCGTCCCCCCCGCGCCCCCCCTACTCCTCTCGAGCAGAATCTGAGCTCGTGCTATGTTATTGTAACGCGAGCCGCTGTCTCATCATCGTTCCCACTCTGCCTTCCGCTGCGCAATTAGAACTTAATAAGCCATCGTGTTGGCCGACCATTGTCGCGTCGTGCTCTCTGCCACACGATATGTAGAGTCAACCACAACAAGTTGCAGGATCCAGTTACGAGTTTACTTCTTTCTTAAATCAACCTACGAGTTACTCGGGGCGTGTAGCGTTTCAAAATACAAATGGAAAATTATAAGAACCCGTATAGTGTCACGCAACCTGCAAACGTTTAGTGAATAACCACGAAAACTTAAATGTATGTAGAGCTTTTGATATGTGTTATTTCTTTATTTTGGCGGCTAAGTTAAAGTTACACCGTTAGCGTACCGACAGTTTATTAAAAAGAATACCGCGAAGAGCGACTATTGAAAACAAAAGTGTTATTGCTGAATGAATAATGGAAGCCAATACAAACCGGTACAGTTGTTAAAAACATTCTACACTAAACATTATTTTTAAAACTTATTTACGCAACACTAAAATTTTTTACACGTCCCAGTTTTTGGTAAAGGTTACATTAAGGAAAACAAACACACAAGTCGACAATATATGACAACAGACATAATTAAGAGTGCCAATATAAGCAATTAATGGCTGATCACACTCTTGGAAGTAAAATTAAATCTTAATCTTTTTCAGTGATTTACCAAAGAGTTACAATAATTATAATTTTACTGTGACTTTTACTCATCTTCGTATCATTACCAACACTTCAGAGCTAAATTCAAACGAAGCCAGCACTGCCTGGGGATAGAGAATGCACTCGGGAAAGGGTGCATTGGAAGGGGTATACGGCACGGTATATTCTCACAGACCCATCATTGCCGATGTTCGTGTCAACAGTAGACCAAGACTCCTAGATCTTGAAGGGGTCCCTTTACTATTTATGTACTTTCAGTATCTGAAAGCAGTGACAGTCAGTTTGCCATCTGGAGAACAACCACCCAAGTTTACAGTCTATCTGACGCTCAGTTCAAGAATTGCAAATCCCATACATTTATGAAACGTACTTTTAGACCTCCGAATTTTTAAATACAGAATAGGTATTTCAAGGTAAGGATAACACCGAGGGATAGGGGTTGCCGTGAGCCGCTACAGTGAAAGCTCAGCTAATGCAACCTAAGCTTTTGTTCCGCGCCCGCATTTGTTAAATTACAACCAGCATGTAAACATGGTCATGGCTTGACCTTTTCGTTGCGATGAAATGAGTCTCCTAGTTCTCGACCAGCTGGAGCTGAAATGTTGTACGCTGAACTACTTCAGCTATTAGTTGTGGGTCGTCGCAGCGTGAGTTAGCCTCGAGTGCAGAGTGCGTGCTCAGTGCGCGGTTTCTGCGAATGAGTAATGCGTACACCTACTTCCTGTGTAGCAGCAGTGAGAGGCGCGGGGGAAGGGGCGACGTTAACCTACTAATGTAACTGCGCACACCGCAGCAGCGGCAGCGGCGGCGAGCGCGCACACTCCCGCGCCGAGCCCGACTCCAGGAAAACAATAAACTGTTTAACGACCCGTGGATTGGAATTAATTTATGGCAACCACACTAAAACTCGGCTCAAACAAACCCTCGAGGTGGAGTCGATTGGTTGTGCAAATACATACAGGGCTCGATCGAGACTTGAGGTTTTTTTTCTGCGATGTGTGCTTAGGAGCTTCGCGGCCGCACCGGAAAGTATAAAAACCAGCGAAGGTCGAGAGACCTAAGACCTGCGCCTGCGCTGCACTTAACAACTGCATTCTGAATAAGTAGGTTTCTTGATGAAAACCAATAAGCCAGAATGCACGTCAAGTGTGTTCAGTCAGCGTGCCAAGCGCGGATCGCCGTGTACACAATTAGTACGAGCTACAATGAAGTCAAAGTCACCATGTCGAATGAAGAATTCTCTGTTATGCAGGTAGGTATAAGTTACGTCGCGGTGACTATCGACACCACGCCACAACGCAGCGCCGCGCAGCGCGCGACTGTAGCCGATGTTATGCACCTATATGTTTTTCGTATTGTTTTTAACGTACGAGATTCGGATTGTTTAGCGGTATAATTAGCATCTATAGGTATATTAAAATTTTCCTCCAACAATAAAACGTTATTTTGCTTACGACGACCAATTTAATAAAATAAGGAAAATTCCATTGGCGTGAATAATCAGCGCGCCGAGCGCCGCGACCGCTGTCCTGCACCAGCGGCGACGGCGGCGCTGGCGATGGTGATGGCCAGAAGAGCGCGACATTTGGAAGGCCCGCAAAGAGAGAGACCGCGGCCGGGCGCAGGTGAGGCGCTACGCGGCTGTTTGCACTCGTCGTTGTCGTTTTTGTGTCGGTTTCTCTAACGCGCTATTTTACACGTCTCGAGGACCCTCGGCTCTTTCTCAAATTTGTTTTCCATATTTTTTGTCGTGTTGAGTGACGACTTAAGTGTCCTCAAACGAGTCGTTTGTATAGGCTATTAGCGTTCCGGTGCCGGATTATGTCGACAGAGTGCAAATAAACGAACTACGCCGCGATGCGATCGGTGTGCTGGGGAAGGAAAGCCGACCACTTTGTCGTTTTTTTTGAATAAGCAACATAGAGACAGCGAGTGCATCAGCGCGACACGTGCGCGTCCGCCCGCAAGTCGTGTGATGCGCGTTCGCCCGCGAATCGCATGCGGGCGAGCAACTTCACAGTAACGCACCGTTTCGGTCCGTGCACTAGCTGTTGCGTGTGTACTGTGGTAACAGTGGCAGTTTTTCCAGAAACTAACTTAGCTTTTACCGTTAAGCACTTCTCGTAATGTAAGGATTTGTAACTGGAGCAAAGTGACTCTGCGAGGCAGGTGTCGAGGTGGCGGCTTCCTAACTGTAGCTGCTCTCGCGATCTGCACGTTGCGCGTAAGGACGAAGCGGCTGGGCACGGGGTCGCGGGGGCGCGGGGCAGTTGGTAATGGTAATGCATGCAAGCGGGTCGAGGCCCGGCGCGGGTGCGGGCGGCGCGCGGGGGGAGGGCGCGAGCGATAACACGCTGCCTACTTCCGAGACGTTCCGAGCCATTAGCCGCCGCCTGCCACGCTGCTCCAATTTGCGAGCTTCCATAATCTTCACAGAAAGTCAAAATCAGTAAGAACTGAAACCGAATCCAAGAACATTATGAATCCGAGTGATTTTTAAATTAAAAAGAAAGTTTTTTTATAATGCCAAGTGACGAGACGAAATAATAATAATAATAATAAATAATAACAGTTGCAGTACCACTCAGAGCTTTAAACCGCAAAGATCTGAGGAGCGTTGCCACTGCACCCTGAGACATAAGTTGACACAAGAAATTACAAGCACATGGGACTGTGCTTGTAATTTCTCCAGCACCCTTACCTTTGAAAGCCGGAACGAAGTAATGGTCTGCTTGGCGGCAGAAATAGGTAAGGTACTTCCCTGAACCTTGTGAACTCATTCACAAGGAGCGCTTCTACCTACTGCTCTAAGTACCTCCCCTTTCTTGTGCAGAAACAGATGCCTTTTTGCTTTGTAATACCGAAACAGCAACCGATAATCAACAATTTGAGTACATTCTCATCATCTTTCTGCTCAGCATGTAACCGGCCCGAGTGTTCCGTTGCAGAGGTGGAGGCGGCGGCACCGCGTACGGGCGCTGCTACGGTGGCGGGTCGTACTTCAGCGCCGGCGGCGAGCTGCCGCATCAGCCGCAGATGTGGCCGTCGAGCGCAGGCGCGTCGCCTACGTACGGAGGGGGCGCCCCGCCGGGCGTGGGGCTGGCGGACGAATACGCGGAGGCAGAAGCCGCGGGCTGCGGCGATGCGACGCCCGCCGGCGGCGTCGGCGGCGCGCTGCCGGCCTTCAACACTCGCTTCGGAGGCGCCTTTCCCTGCGCAACGAGCCGGCCCTCGACCGTGTACGGCTCGCCGGCACTCGCCGCCACTTCGTACCCGCATCAGGTGAGTCCGCTCGTCCTCCTGCTGATAGTACTGGAAAAGCGTGCTTCCAACGCTCGCGTTGTGATGTTGCAGGACGTGTGGAGCCTCGACGGCAGTCGGCGCACGCAGCTCTCGGCCGCCGCCAGTCTGTCAGCCAGTAAGTGCATTCCCATTACACACCCACACCAACCGATCGTAGTAGTAAAAGATATAATAAATAAATAAACCTATCTAAACAAATTGTTGGTTGTTCGCCTGAAGGCGGCGGGCGGGGGAAAAGTACCCTACCTAATCATATCGCAATAGTGCAAATTACATTAGACTAAATAAGCATGCACTTAATTGCACCAAATATTAAAACAAAGTCTACGTTTGTTTTCGGATTCATTTGCTATTCACCTTAAGTCACGTCTGTACAATGATGCATTCTAAACTGATTTCTTATATACTAGAAGGCGTTTAAAAAAGTTGCCTCATCGCTCTAACATAAATCTGATGTTTGAGTTTAAAGCGATAAAGTTCGTTTTTAACCGACTTTAAAAAAGGAGGATGTTGTCAATTCGACTGTATTTACTCCTACATTTCTGAACCGATTTTGATGATTCTTTTTTGCTAGAAAGAGGGCTCAATCCGGTTTCGCGCACTTTCCGTTAACCGATTCCAATAAAACTTGGCAAATAGATGTAACTCCAATGAAAAAGCCGATGAGCAAATTTTTGAGGTCGGTTTTTTTAAAATAAAAAGTTAAGCAAATGTTTGCAGTCAGTTCCTATTTTTTAATAAAAATTATTACTATTTTATAAAGGGTTTTTCAACAAGAACTTTGTTTTGTAAATCAAAATAAAACAATAAATTTATATGACAATGATTCATATTTTTATTGTATGTATTAGAAAAGTAAGGTTTGGCAATTATGAATGAAGAATGATTTCTGATAAATGTCTATCACGACCACAGTTACAGATCACGATTCTTTCATCAAAGTTTTTGATCGCTTTTGGACAAAGTGGTGAAAAAATTTTCGGTGGCTGTGTGACTTGTGCCGTTGACAATGGGCCGTTTGGGCTTTTTTCGAAAATTCGGCTGGAAATGCGGTTACGGTCAATGGATTACGCTATCGAGAGAGTATACTAGAGTTAACTACTCACTTTTGCCTCTTATTGATGATATGGACATCACTAACAAACATGTGGTTTCAACAAGACGGTGCGATAAGTCACACAGCCACCAAAACAATTAATTCATTGCAAACCTAATTTCCCGATCGCATAATTTCACGAAATTCAGCCGTTAAGTGGCCAGCTCGATCATGTGATTTAACACCGCTGGATTATTTTTTATGGGGTTCTGTTTAAGACTGAGTCTATACGGGGCCAATCGAATCGATTGCAGCCTTAAAACTCAAAATTCGTGAAGTTATTAACGAAATAGACCCACCATTTGGTCAAAAAGTGATTAAAAACTTTGACGAAAGAATCGACATCTGTAACTGTGGTCGTGGTGGACATTTGTCAGATATCATTCTTCATTCATAATTGCCAAACCTTACTATTTTTTTAACACAATAAAAAATTTAATCATAGTCATCTAAATTTATTATTTTATTTTGATTTACAAAACAAAGTTCTTGTTGAAAAACCCTTTATTACACAACATAACAATATAAATTAATTGAATTGGATAGTATACAAAGACCCTCAAAAGCAAACGGGTCATAGGAGACTACAAATGGTTACACATTGCAATTGCGTTTTTTTTTCTTTTTCTCTATCTGTTTTTTGAAACACGTGTGAGTTTCGACGGGCACTGACTCTTGGCTTTGCTGGAGTGAATACTGTGTACAGTGCTTAGGCGTTAACGTTAATTTGAGCATAATCAGGTTCCTACGTTCATTATTGTAATGAAAAACGCGGATAAGTTAAGCCAGCGCTGCGCTGAGTCACGGCTCGGCCGGAAGAAAGCCGAAGTTTAGCCCAGTTCTCAGAATGGACGACTGGCACATAATGACGCTACATTGGCCATGAGCGAGCGAACAGTGCCTACCTATAGGTAGTTCGATAGAGCTCATGAAAATAAACAGCCGACATACACACGTACCTACGTGTTGTAATACACGAAAGCGACGCTATTTGGAGTTGCGATGCGAGCTTGCGCGTGACCTTGTCGCGACGATAAACACGTGAGGTGCCGCACAAATAAGGTCGGATCCATTATTATCATGATCCCCGGCAAGGAAACGAGTCGCCAACAACAGGGAAGAGCTACCAACGGCCCTGCTTCTGCAGGCCGTGCACATCCGTCAACGGCCGATTCAGTGGTTATTAGAGGATATAGGCCGGGTGGTATAGATGCAGCACGTGTATCCCGGACGATATTTATTCGATTACACCTGCAATGTCACCTTGTGACGCTTACCTCGTGAGGGGGTTAAGTCACGCTCCTTTTTTAGGCTAATGTACATACTACCGTAATATCATCAGCTATCGTTATGGGGTGCTATAAGCGGCCACGCACATCATACAATTACAATCATAGTCCAAAATATAATGTATTGTATTACAGTTTTTAATTTTTTTACTTTCTGTTTTCTGAATCACGTGTGATTGTCGACTGGTATCACCTTTTAGTGGAATGGACCACGACCAGGAATCAATGTGCACATACCTACATTCGTGCGAGAAGTGGGCAGAGACATACCACCCTCATTTGTTATTCCAGTAACTACATTGTACAATATAATTACTATGAATGGCAGTGTAATTATAAGGTGGAGTCGTTTGCTCCCAGTCAGTCGTCAGTCGGCAGCAAGTGGCAACAGTTTTTTGTGAGGGGTCATCCGCGATAGCCCCGCCATGTAGCCCGCCGCGCATGCCCCAGCCCCTCCCCCCCAGTCTCCCGGCAGCCTCGAAGCATATTTTGTGATAAATCATGTTAGAAGTGATAACGCAGCCCCGCGCCCCACCGCGCCCCCCCGCGCCCCACCGCGCCCGCACGCGTTTTTTCAGCGCCACTTAACCTTCATCTGTCCTCGCAGTGTATCAAGCTCGCTTCATTTAAATTTTGTAGCCCATCAAATATTAATAGCCTTTCTTTGAATCATAAACTAGTCACACTTGACAAAACAGTTATAATTTCAGTTTACGATTCCTCAATAATACTCTGAATCGATACGAGATGTTTAATATTAATAAAGAGCACCTTCGCCCACACCCGAAGTGCAGCGGCAGCGCTGGCGCAAACACTCAATGAATCTTTGCAAAAACACGATTAAAAATAAAAAGAACATGGTTAGCCATTTGTTTTACATATTGATATATATATATATATATATATATAAGTAGATATTACAAATGCTATAACATAGTTCAGCGTTCACTATTCAGAGACGGGTCGGGACTTATCTCGCGTCGCATCGTAGACAGACATCGCGCTTAGGTTTACAAAAAGCCATGTCTCCATTTAAAACTAAGTGTTTCCCTTTTAAGCGCATTAAAATCGCATTCCGTAAATGGTATCGGATAAGGCACGTGCGCGGGCGCAAACACGGGCGTCCGCCGCGCCGCAAACAAAGCGGCCACAAAAAACGCCGGACGCGCCGCAATGACCCGCGCCGCATCCTTTGTTTACTCGATGGCGCGAGCCCTCCACTTATCGCCGCGGCAGTGGGATCCTCTGTAATCAAATTAGGCTTTTAGCACCACTTGGTGTTCTTACGTTGTCCCTCTCCTCAGTCGTCGATTCCATCATTATTAAGGAGAGTACCGACCCAACTATTGCTACCGAATCTCCATCCACCGAGCCTCACAACTTTAACTTTGTCACCTCATTTATTTTGTAACGACATAACGTGACGGCGCGAAAGAGTCATGACAAATGACCGCGGTTGCCCAAAGTCTGGCTGGCTAAGGTAGTTCGAGGTGTGCCTATTTGGTCACAGTGAACTGTGCATCGGTTGCTGAAAACATTGGGTACACGTGGATGGAGCACGAATGGTGTAGGGGGCGACGCACATGGCCGTGTCCCGCTATATGCGTAATAACATGTCCGGGTAATGACACCCGGCTGTGGTAACCGGACACGCCGCCCGCAATTAGTCGCCGAGCCACGCGCGGCCGCGGCCGACCCGCACCGCGCGGCGCCGGCGCCGACGCCCGGTAATTTCACTCTCTCCGCGATACGTGTAACTGACTTTAAATTTTAGTAAACGACTCATGGGAGTTTTACCAATCTTATAAATAATAGTATTTATAAGACTGGTAATATAGATCAAGACTTGATTCATCTTTTCTCTTTGTCCTGCAGAAACGTGTGATTAGAGCAATTTACAATCTGGGCCCCAGATTGTCTATGAGGGACAAGTTTAAGGAGATTAACTGTCTTATACTAATGTCACAGTACATTTATGAAAATGTTATTTTTATGTTAAGAAAAATATAATTTTCTATTTAATGAAAAATAGTGACAGACGTAACATTAATACGAGGAGTAAAAATAAACTTGCTGTTGTTGACAGTCGTCTTCTTAAAAAGTCTCAAATGCATTTAAGGGGCAATGTACACACTTCTATAATAAGATTCCGGTTGATATACAAAATTTGCCATTTACGAAACTATTGTGAAACAAAAACTTTATAGGTACTAAACCTTAATTATTATACAGTTTCTGCGTATTTGGATGACAAAAATCCGTGGTAGCGACCTGTTTCTTTAGCTCTTTCAGGTATTCTCGATCTAAGTGGTTTAAATTAAATATTGTAATGATAAATGTATTCAAATGTATATTTACAAAGAGCAACCCCTAGAGTTTCTTGCTCATTCTTCTCGGGGAAGTCTGCCTTATGAACGAGCAGTAGAGTTTAATCAGTATGACGGTTTTATGTGTACTTTGTTTGCCTATGAAATATAAATTTTTGATTAAGATTTTCCAAAGGAATATGACATCAGTCAGTGATATCGCGACGAAACGGAACGCGAATGAAGGCGTCTCTTGCACACCGGAAACCCAAACAGTCGTCGTTTCCTTCAAAGTTCTTGAAGCGAGAATAAGACAAAGTACATTTTTCTGTTGAATTTGATCAGTACGCGAAGTGTACCTATGGGTAGGCACACATCTACACTTTGTATTATTATGACATAAGGTATAATAAATAAGAAGGATCCCAAAATGGCGCAAGCTCTAGATGACTGCTAACGTGAGGACAGTAGGTACCTACGAAATGTGTAGTGTTTTTCTTGTTGGAAATTCCGTGATAGCAGTGTGACGAATAAAATTCCAATGCGAGTAGGTCGTATGTAAAAATGGGGCAAGTTTTGCATTTGTAAGCCTTTTGCGAACATTTGAGGGATTCAATACAAGCTTTTTCATAACTTATCTTGGTTCCGACTACTGAAATGCTTTTGTAAGGCGCCGCACCCATGCTGACCAATTGACTTGTTTATTTACATATCATCTGCAAAAATAGAATGCACAAAAGCAGGATTTGATATTCGAAATTAATAATTGCAACTTTCGAGATGCTCGTGATCTTGCTGACCTGGCCAAGTTACTGAAAACAATTACCTGCAAGTTATGGTCCAAAAAAGCCGTACATTCTGTACATTCGCACTGCTGGAAGAAAGGCAGTATGTACATTGAGGCATAACTAAAACCACCTTTATACGCCTTTATTTATTATTATAGGCCACCTTTATAAATTATACATCAAAAACCACATTACGCCAGTATTCTACGATTAATATTATATTTAAGGTATAAATTAATAAATCTCTGTATTGCTTCCGATTTTAGGATTTGATAGCCGTTGTAATGTTACTTACTTCGATATTGGCTCATATTTACGAATTTCAATTGCCCTTTAAGATACGCCTTTGTTGTACGTGCTGTATATTTGTTTATTTATTTATTGTACACACCACATTTTTTACGGTTTATTCCATAATATGTATATTCGAAGACAAAATAAAAAAATTAAGTCATGCTTATATTCAATGGTAACATTGTAACAGCAACATTACATAATTATTTTTTCGCACGAAACTAAAAAACCTGTGCTGTGCAGGTTTTTATTTTTGGCTACAGCTCAGGCAACATGTTGATAGAGTGCCACGAATTAAAGTGGAGTGTACTACTTCGTTATCTATACGATGCAGTAAAAAACATATTTGACGTAATCCGACGTATGTCATTTTTCCTTTGCTGTGGATAAATATTTTTTTTGTATGTTGGGTTCCCCATGGTAGAAGCTATTATTAATGATGGTTAGAAATACCTCCTAGCAATCCTGCAGATCTTTTGTGGTCTGTGTGCCTATAGTAGTACATAACTACTTAAATCACCGAAGTTCTCTCTGGTTCCGGTAAACGTATTCAAGAGTGTCCCGTGAGCAATCCTGTCAAAGGCCTCGCTGTCATATCCTATAGAAAATAAGATAATGTCGAAGAAAAGCGTGTTACCTATAAAGGATTGAAACTGTTACACAGGGCTGCATAATGGTGTTCAAAAATGTATTCTATCTAATTATGTAACAGTGTTGGACTATCATTTATTATTTTAATTCTGCTGTTTTTTTTTGCGGTTATGTTTAATTTATATTTCGCATGGAACCAAGGATAAAAAAAATAATTTTTGACCTTTGACCTTTTATTTCATCGACTAATTTTAAATTATTGTAAACCTCCATTCTTAATATAATCGAAAAGTTAGTTATTTAATTTTTGGATATTTAGCTTTAGAAACAAAACCATTCGACAGAGTGACACGAATACTAGAATAAGCCCAGGCTCCTGCGTTACTTGTCTTTCGATCGATATTTCAAAGTCACTGTTAAATAATCATTTATTCCATAGGTAACATTTTTACACTTGAAAATCATCAATCAATCGTCATTTTTAAGCTACTGCTCGTTCATTGTGCTGACTTCCCGGAGAAGGACGAGCAAGAAACCCCAGGGATTGCTGTTTGCAAAAAACTTAAATGCCATGGAATACAATTTGAATCAAATTTGTGTGGAATTTTGATTAGTGTCTTTTGTCATGTTTGTGCCGTGTTGTCTTTCCATACATCTTTATCTAATATCTACGTAGTCTATAATTTTCAATATGACTTTCCAATTAAAATACTTTTAATGTAAGTTAGGAAATGGTAATATTAATAAATAGGTACTCTGAAATTTTATTGTAAAAGCGTATAGACACAGTTCCCCATAAAATAATTGTTTACCTTAGTTAAACGAAATCGTGTTACCATGAGTTTGGACTTAGTTCTAAGGTTAATATTATGGATGTCTTCTTTCTTAATGAAATTATGTATGTTTTACGGGCATATAAAATATTTGAGTAAATGTACTGTGATGCCACAGTCATGATACCAGCCTCCTTAAACTTTTCTCTGAGAGAAAAAAAATAAAACAAAGAAATGTACGTTTGTGCCTGTTCGCGATAATGATGAGAGCGTGACCTCATCGCGACGTGTCCACGAGCGGGCGGTCACGTGCGTGGCGCGGGCGCATAGCCGACTCAGCAGCGGCCCTCAATGGAGCCGTCAATGCCAAGGTCGCGCCCGCGCATCGTACCTATCTGTGCACTTCTTCGAGCGTCCCCGCCCTTGCCTTCGCGACACGTTTGGCGTGACAGTCTCGCTGGTCTCGGCTCGGCAATAATGCCACTCGTTTCAGTAAAACTATTTACACATATATCCCTTTTTATTAATGTTATTAAATTTTACTATATAATGGCGCTAGATATATCCTATAGTCAAATTTCACGCTACCAAAAAGCAGACGTATCTATTCTTCACAAAACGGAGTCCCTTTCACTTGACTCCGACTTTTCGTGATATTATATTCATACCGATAGTTGACCGTCTCCAGTAACTTGGCATGGACCTGTCGTCCAATGTGAACTTTGGCAGATACATCCAGTAGAATCCATGGCCAAAAATGCAGCCAGGAAAGCTTGGCATCCTTTCCAGAGTGAGGCGTTACTTCACACCGGGCCAGTACTTCAGCTGTACCAAGGACAAATCCGGTAGTGCATGGAGTACTGCTACCACTTGTGTGATGGCTCTGCTAAATACCAACGGGCCACCTTGGATCCAATTGACAAGCGTGCCAAAAGGCATGTAGGTGACACGGATTCAGTAGAGGGGAAGCTGTAGAGTCTTGAACGCCGTCGTAAAATTGTCTGCTTACTGGTATTCTACAGGATTTACGGAGAGTGTGCGATTGAATTGCATAATTTAATTCCGCCTTCCCCTTTCCATTATCGGGGGACTAGACGTGGGCTGCGGTTCCATCCCTATGTTGTGGGTATTCCCAGGATTCGCGCGAAGCGTTTCGCTTCCACATTTATAGCGAGCGGCAGGAGAGTGGGTTTCCTTACTTGCGGACTTATTTCCCGAATGCTAGGACTAGGACCTTTTAAAGGCCAGAGTGAATAGGCATTATCGTCCACCTCATCTCACTTTCCATCCGGTGAGATGGAGGTGACATGCGCATTTATTTTTTATAAAAAAATCCAAGTGCATAATTATGTAGAAACGTTTGGAGTCAACGCGATGCTCAAGTTAATGTTTCGTAGAAAGTCGCTTAAATTTAATGAAGCACACAATATGAAAGACAGACAGGGTATCTACTTATAGAAAAGGCTAGTTGAGTAGTAGGTGATTGGAGTAGTCCAGCCTGTGCCGAGGGCGGGCAGGGCGGCGCGAGGCCGACGAGGGCGCGCGACAGTAACGTGGTGTTTGCGCAGTCGACGTGGCGGAGTTTTTCACGGAGGGCCGCGAGTGCGTCAACTGCGGCGCCATCCACACGCCGCTCTGGCGACGCGACGGCACGGGCCACTACCTGTGCAACGCTTGCGGCCTCTACAACAAGATGAATGGCATGAACCGGCCGCTGAAGCAGCCGCGGCGGCTGGTACGTCAGCGCGCAGCCGCGCCCCCCCACGCCGCGCCGACCCACGACGTACGCACTGTCCCCTAACCCGCGCGGTCCCTCCGCCCGTCCGTCCGCCGCGAGAGATCCGCGCCCGTCGCCGGCCAGGGCCTCGGGGCCTCGCTCTCACACAACTTGTTCTTGCAGTGGCCGTGGAGGGAGCGCCGCCGCCGGGCGCGGATTTCTTCAAGGGTCTCCTGTATAACGGGCTCGCGACGCAGCACGCGCACGCGCAGTCGCCGGCGCCGCTGCCCGTGCCGCCCTTCACTGACTACAAACAGAAGAAAGGGGTACGTGCACCCCGCCCTCTCCGTCCGCGGCGGACTATCCCTGACCCTCTCGCTTACTAACGTTCCCCGCTTCGTCTAACCGTTCGAATGCGCGAGCTTAGCGTGGCACGCGACGATTCCGCCGGCGCTGGCGCCCCGCGTCGCCCGGCGGTCCGTCCGCCGCTGACGACGGCCCGTGTTGCAGTTGAGCTCGCGCAAGCCCGGCATGTCGTGCAGCAACTGCCACACCACCACCACGTCGCTGTGGCGGCGCAACGCGCACGGGGAGACGGTGTGCAACGCCTGCGGCCTGTACTACAAGCTGCACAACATCAACCGGCCGCTGGCCATGAAGAAGGACTCCATCCAGGTAAGTGCCCGGGCGCGGAGGCGGCCGGCGCCCCGCGCCCCGCGCGCCGCCTCACGCCCCTCGCCCCTCGCCTCGCAGACGCGGAAGCGCAAGCCCAAGAACAGCCTGAAGGCGGTGCGCGGCCTGGCCAAGGGCGCGCCGTCGCCGCACGCCGCGGCCAAGCTGGAGTTCCCGGCGCGCGCCTTCGACGACGCGGCCTTCGCGGGCGACGCGGCGCGCGCCGGGCCCTGCTTCGCGCACGCGCTGAAGCTGGAGGAGCCGCCGCCGGCGCACGCGCACGCGCACGCGCACGCGCACGCGCACGCGCTGCCGCACGCGCTGTTCGACGACGCCGACTTCCGGCGCGCGGGCGCCGAGCCCTCCGAGCGCCTGGACCGGCCCACCGTCGTGTCCCTGGGCAGCTGAGCGCGCCGGGCTCGGCCGCGGACGAACACGGAGAATCTCAGTCGCTTAAGTTAGCTGTTAAGTAGGCTAGTGCGTTTGTCGAGGGCGATCGACCGCCGAGTCGTAGCTAGTTGACCAAATATATGTACCTACCCGCCGGCGGCGCCGCCGCGCCCCGCACCCGCGCCGTCGGCCTCGCGGGCGCGCGGGGCGCGGGCGGCGCGCCGTCTGTTACCAAATACTTCGATGAGACTGCTGTCAGCATTCCTAGCGTGTTGCATTCCTATTGTAATAAAAACTAAGTATAATACGACTAGGTAGTCACACTTTAGTTAAGAGCTCGCTGTCGTTGAAGTGCCTTAAATAGTTTACAAAAGTACACATGTAGTTTTAATCGTGTTTCGTTTGCTCCATGACTTTGTAATACATTCCGTAGCGTGTCGTAAATAGTGTCATAATGCTATAATTATAGCAAAAAGTAATGACTATTGTGTTGCACCGTGTAATACCTAATACAGATCTGCGAAGCCTCTCTAGCGCACAACGATTTTTACTTTATATTTCATTGAGAACTTTAAGCAAACAAATTATATTAAATGTATCACCTTGAAAATGTTACTTCCAAAGATCTGTAACATATATGTAGTTATATATGTAGTTAGTAATCGTTCAGTGAAAATTGCTGCGTGTGGCGGTACCGAGTGGAGGACATTTAGCGAATATTTATATATTAGGCGCCGTGCAAACGTATGTCTCGTGTTGATTGTCGATTTCATAATTATCGATTCTATGAGAATAGTATATTCACTAATTGCCGGTTGCTCGTATCCAACACGCGTATGCGCGGCGCCTTAGAGCGGTTACACGCGGCGACTTTCAGCAGCGATGCGCGTTTTCCGCAATTAACTAATTTATTTATTTAATGTATTTATTAATTTCACTTTCGAATTCAAAAAATCAACAAAAGAAAATAAAAGTGCATAAACCTATACACATTTTTCGTACAAAATTATTGAAGCTGGCATCGCTGCTAAGAGTCGCCTTGTGCGCGCGCTGCGCACAATGACATGTCCGACGCGTCGCGGCACTGAAGAGCGGCGCACGAACGCCGCGAAGTCCGTCTCGCGCTGCAGCGGACTGAATTTATACACGTTTTACATTGTAAATGTCATAATTCTATTATACTTTTATAGATATTAAATCGACTGCATATTTTGAAATAATTTTCCATGTTAATTACGTTTTAAGAAAATACTTTAGACATTTTTTCGAATTTTATTGTAAAATTGCTCATTTAGTGGAGGTTATTGAATGTTATTATATCATGTTTTTATATAAATAAATAAATAATTGAGTTACGCCAAATATTGAAGCATAGTTAGCCACTAGCTATTATGTGACGTTATGCTGCGCAGCGACAACGCAACGACGACGACGCGACATGACGACGTCGCGACGGCGATGCGCTTGTTGCGCGCGTTTTAGAAATAATTTATATCTCGCTGTATATGTATATAAACAAATTGAAGTACACTTTTAATAAATGACACAAAATACCTAATAATAATTAAAAACTGTCTTTGTTTTATTAAGCCAAAATACACATCCGGAGTGCAGTTATATCCGACTGCTCCAAGAGTAATATATTTCGGGTGTTTGTATGTATGCCAGCTCCTTTGGCTCGCTTGGAGCCTGTACTCGTTTTGGTGTCTCAGGCATCATTGGATTCTTTTAATCTTCATTGAGTTGTAAGACACTCACAAATAAGTACGTACGTCATAGTCGTCTATGATAACGTTAATTATTTAAATTCTGACTTTGATTCAGTTTTTATTAATTTAGGTATTGAGAAAGAAATCATTCCATAGTTTATTCAACATTGCTACATTAGGATGCTGGAAATTTTATGCCGTTTCAGTTTTGGGGCAATTCGGTCTTGGTTTTTCACTTTGCAATGATTTACTTTCGTTTAGTTTGTCGTATGTATAATTGAAACGGCTGGCCGACAGGTAAATAGGTTGGTTTCTTATCTAAAATCTTGAATGAATCTTGACGGGGCGCTTGTGGTCATCGCGGAGTGTGTTTGTCAGGAGCTGATGTGGCTCGTCTCACTCTGATGGCCGACACTCTGGAGCCGAGCTCGTGCAAAGGATCGTCCACTGCACATGTTATTCAGTCAGTCCAGCGCACGGGCGACCTTCCCTCTCTCTACTCCGCCTTGCACGACAAGAAGCTCTACGGAGTCAATATTCCATCTTGAGGTGGGCATAGGTAGGTACATGCTTTTTTTTACTTCTTCTTACTTATATATATGGGTAGGAACTCAACAACTGCCTCTGTGGCCGAACGATTACCATGCCATGACTGCCACACAGAGGTCCCAGGTTCGATTCCCGGGCCGGGAGAAATATTTGTATTGCCTACATTTATTTCTCTCGTGAGTTTGGGTGTAATTTGTGGTTTCCCTAGTGCGGGGCTAAGTTTAGTGTGTGCGTTAAAAAAAAATACTTTTGACTGCTTAAACACTGTTAATAATCATTCGCAAGACAAATTCTTCAGAAAGAAAGAATTGATAAAAAAAGCTTAAATACTAGAAAGTAAAACTAGGATTAAATTATACGAATAAAATTGGGTCCCCGCGGCAAGGTGCTCAGATGTTGGCAGCGTGCACCCTTTGCATGGCTATACTAATGCGTTGGGCAAGGTAGCTGCCGGCACTTGGAATTTTATTAATTAGATTCAGATGACAGGGCACCGGGACCCCACGGGCCAAGGGATTCGACTCCAAAGGCTGTAAATAGGTAGTCGGAGCCGAGATCCTGGTACTGATTACTTTTTATTCTTTCCGTCAGCTCTGCTGCGGAACCTGCCCTGTTGCTGGTGTGCTGTGTGGGATGGGGCAAGTATGTTGGTGCACATGGCGTCCCACACGAGTACCCGGCCCATACTCCAAGGGATGAGAGTCATTCCGTCCGGGCGTTTGCCATGTGCTCGCGACATGCCGCTTGGCTCGAGTATAGCGAGCACGTTAACCGTGACTAAGGCCCGGCGGATGATATCGTTAAGGATTTCATGGCCGGCGGGCGCTCAGCTGGCAGGAAAGATCGTGGTGACCCAGAGCACATACATCTTTGCCGCAAGGACACCGATGCGGGAAGCAAACAGGGATGCCAAGGCGGAGGCCTGTAGCTATGCAAATAGTCTCGGCGCTCAGGAAGATACCGGTACTGGCAGAAGGGAAAGCGTGTAGCCAGTGGCCAGATTCCCACCTGGACGCCGCTTCCAGATGCGCTTGGCCTATTGGGGTGCAATGATTCATTAAGCCATTTAAAGTCTTTTTGCACAGTATATTATCCCAGCTCTTTTGAATTTTGGGGTCGGACGGAGAATTTCAGTTGGGGCAACCCTGGTTCCAAGCGTCACCTCGCAGTTTGTTGGCGGAAGCCTTAGGATACCTACTGCCTACGAGGTTGACCGTGCTTAGTAGATTGAGGACAAAAAGGCCAGAAGAGCTATGTCCGACTCCTGATGCCTTAACTATACTATAATATACCCATAACTATACGATCTAATAGCCTGAAAATGTCTCTCCGCCGAGAGCAACATCTGGCTTTGCTATTATTCGGTGTTATCAGGACGGGTCAACCGGAGTACCTGGCAGAAAAGTTGTCTTGGCGTGACCATGGGAGATTTGGTGCTCGTTCGACGGGTTGGGTATTGCAGATCCCTCCGCACCGCACTTCTGCTTTTCGTGGGAGTTTTAGATACGCGGCCTCGAAGTGCTGGAATAATTTGCCGCCGCCTATGAGGGAAGTAAAGTCTGTCTTTTCTTTTAAAAGCAAAATAAAACAACTATTAACATCATACCAGGCCGAGCTGTCCGTGGGCGGCCGGGTTGTTCCAGCATTTTCGAGGTAAAAGGTTCGCTGATAGGGTATAGCTCTGTAATTTCATATCATTTAAATATAAGTATTATGTCATTTTCGCTAATTTATTTATAATCTTATTTATATTTATATATATTTATTTGCATATTATATGATAGTAATAGTAATAAGAAAGCACTAATATTTCTAATTTATTATTTATTTATTTTTTTTTTATTCCTTTTTATTTTTAATGAATTTCTGGCGTCGAGCTCTACGAGCTCTACGGGCTTACTGAAAATCAGCGCTGTGGTAAATCTACTGCAGCATATGCTGAGATAAGTCCCGTGTTGGCATGACGCTACAACACAGGCCATACTACTGTCTACTGTGCATCATTGTTTTAGTTTTACTTGTAATTATAAGTCATATACCTAATTATTTGTTTGTAAACTGTTTTAGTGTGGTTTTGTGTTGTTGTATTCGTGCCAATAAAAGTATGTCTATGTCTATGTCTATGTCTATTAACCATCGTATCTGATGGGGTAACTTGCTTTCAGGCGTTCTGGGTAAGATGGATGTTGAGAGTGGATTGAAGGAGAACTTTTAGATCGGAATCTATTGATAACAACTGATTATGGAATTTCCAAGCCGACAAGGACAACAGCGAGTATGTAAATTTTTTAATAATATCGAATTCTTAGGTTTTCGCGATTGTTACACATAGGAAATGAAACTATTTTTCCGGATTTAATTCGCGTATATTTGTTTTTTCAAACAAACCGACGTTTCGGGCCCTTTACAGGTCCCTAGTCAACCGTGACCATGCGACGATTTAAATCCGGAAAAATAGTTTCATTTCCTATGTGAATTTAGGAACGAAAATTAAAAAAGTAGGAAAAATAAAACTGTCCAAGACACGGAATGTATTCTGTTCTAGGTCTATCATCGTAAAAAATATTAGTTTTTCAGCTCAACAATTTGAAATTATTTGGTCTTCTGTTTTTCTTATGATTACAAAATAGCGATTTATTTCAAGGTTTTTGGTTGGTAAATTTCAGAGATCAGGGAAGAAAGCTATTTTTTAGGATGTTTTGGTCGGCAAGTAAGAACTGTAACTCAGAATAAACAAATTTGGTATTCAAATCACACCCCGGTCAACGTAGTTGCTCCACATTCACATTTCCATTTCCCATTTCTGCACATAGGTGCCACGTTATCTTCTATCTGTTTGCTCTGTAGGGTAACTCCTAATGGATCTATTTTATTTGGCTTTCGATCGTAGCGTCGTAGCGCAC